ATATGTATGTAATAGTGGTTGGAGACGGCTGGAATGGGTAATGAAGAAAAACTTTAATATAAATTTAACATAACAGCAAATGTACAACGTTTCGACAAGGTTTTGTCATCATCAGGTACCTTATATTAAAGTTTTCTTCATTACCCCATTCAAGCCGTCTCCAACCATTATTAGTCTCAAAATTGGGGTTCCTCATCATCGAAAATATATGTATGTACGTAAACGCTTAATGTAGTTTTGTATTTTGTTACCTAATCTCAATTTTCTAGAAACTCTCCACACGCCTATAAATATAAGTAAAATAAAAAGAGTAAGTATTATTAGTTTGCTATAAAAAGTGTGCTATAAACTTTCTAAGCTATTACTGTAATTGTTACAATGCTTATCAATCAGAAAACTTCAGATATTTGACCAAAAGCATTTACAAAGTTCGAACATTACAAATCACTTAACTTCAGTGAATTCTCACCGGACATTAGTACTTTTACGAAAACACTGTATAACTTCACGGTGAAAAACTCGGCGTGTGTGGCTGTTGAATAACGAAAGACGGAGCTAGCTAGCTCCCCGTGAAGTGAATCGTACCTACATCAACTCGTATGTAACTCACTCATCGTGAACCTTCGATAAGGTATCAAAAAAATTCCAGACTATAATAAAGACTTTATATTGCTTCTAAGTTAGTAATTTTTGTATATAAATCATTGTTTGTAATAACCATTATTGTAAATTGTATTGTTGTTTGTATATTAAAACATATTTGTGTCAAAAAAGAAAACTGTGTGAATCAATATTGTTGGCAAATATCATAAATTGGAGATATATCGGCATACATTTAAATACTGAATCCAAAGTACAATTTAACTACTGAATTTAAATTATTATTTAGCTCGATTTCAAACCATTCAAAATTTTAATACGCAACTATATATATATATATATATTCTATGTAGTTATTTGTCCATTTTTATTCTTATGATACAAACATGACTAATTTCGTGTAGTGTTTTAGAAGGATTTATCCTCATTCGAATATTCTTTTGCTTTATGTCGAGCTTTATTAAGTATGTTTTCATTCCCCACATAAAAAACGTCTTCATGAAGTATGGTAATGACTCAATGCAATATCTTGGACAATATCACAAGTCGAGGAATGTTTCTCTGACATAAGGATTCCTTCTCACACATTGTGTGTGCCCAGCATAAATTAAAAGTTCAAACATTTCACAGTGAAGATGTGAATGGGAATTCAAGGAATCTTCTAGATTAATGAGTCTAATCAACCGTATATCAAGTAGTTTCTTTCGAGTTTAGAAAAGCACAACAAGATAGAAAACCGTCTTCCATAAAGAGCGAAGAAACGTTTCAGATTACATAGAAGTGTTTGATGTTTACTGAAAAGCTTTTATCTAAATGAAAAACGAGAACATAGACCAAAGTTACACATCTTACTGCAAACACATATTCGGGAAATAACAGTAAAACGTCTACTGATAATTGGACTACTATTATTGGAACGTGAATAACAATTATCTCGGTGAATTAAAAAAACTTCGAAAGGTAATGGTGTGAAAAATGTTCTATGTGTGTATGTATCTATCTATATATATTCGTGTTTGTCTTTCTGATAGAAAAATAGGTAGAAGGTGTACTTTAATACACAAATGAAATTGAAGAATGGTAAACGATATTATACTATTGTATCTTCGAATGCATTAGATCAGTTCTGATATTCTAAACAGTTAGTTTAATGGTTTTATGGGGTCATCAACAGAAGCGTGAGAAGAGAGCAGAAAAAAGATGAAACCTAGGATATTAAGTAAGTTAGTCACAAAGCGTAAAATATTAGAGAAAATTAATAGTATGTAATTTATTATAATATAAAAAACTACCAATCTTCCTTGTAAAATAAACATTCATAACATGGTAAAAGAATTTGAGTAGTTTTAAATGGTCTAGTGCTTACCGTACCAGATTGTGAAACTGAGGGTACCTGGTTCGCGTCCTGTTACACTTTGAGGTCATGGATACTTTATAAGAGTTCTTGGCAGTTCTGTTGAATTGCTGCATTCCTTCTAGTCTGTCAGTTCAAAAGTTGGGTTAGCTAGCGCAGATAATCCTAGTGTAGCTTTGCGAGAATTTTCAAAACAAAGTTCTGAAAGCTGGTATATGACGAAATAGTGATGTCCATTTTGATCCAAATATATAGGTAGTGACACAGATTACTCTATTAGTAAACGTAGTAATTAGGTGTTTTTGATAATTTTTATGTAGACCGTTTTCAGACAAATATTAGTTAAACATGTCTGACTACTAAATCACTAAAAATAACATTACATTTAACAACAAATTTTAAATAGATCACATAAGCACCTACAAGGGAAATAAATAAATATATAACCATCAAAACGTAAATCTTAGCACAAAGTTCTTTAAATACTGGATTGCAGAATGAGCTTTAAATACTAATCTAATAAATACCATCAGCTGTCCATATATGTATATTATGTGAGTGGGAACAAATTCTAATTATTTTTGATGAAATTGAAATGGTTTTGTCGTTTGGTAAATAACTGGTATTTAGATGTAATTAGTTAAGGGCTAAGCCTGGCGTGGCCTATTGTTAGCGTGTTAAACTGCGGATCGGAAGAGCCATTATTATAGTTGTGTTATGTCGCTGAACTCATTCCGTACTTCTAGATGTGGGAGCATTACTAAGATAATTTTTAGTATTCAAATCAGCAAGTCACGTGATAACCGCAACCGATGTAAAGACACTGGCTGATGATATCGTAAACCGGTCTCTTGGAAAAGGTGCGCAATAGTTTATTTCGACGCGAAATATTCAGACACTCGGATCAGAAAGATGTGGCAGATCAGTGATTTGGAATTTCCAAGGCGGGGATATCCCTTGAACTTATTGACATTGGAAGACAAATAACTCTTGGGCTACTCTTCTAAGAAACATCGGCCTTGCATTCGTTGTTGTGCCTGTAGGATTTATATTAATCAATGGAATAACTTAAGTAGAATAACGAAATTTGATTTTGGAATACAAAGTTAACATAACAATAGCGTGTGTTATGTCACTATATCAGGAAGAGACTGAAATAGTGTACATCGTGCTTGCTTTCCAAAAAATCCTTAAACCTCATGTATTAATGTTCCGTCCCAGGTAGAGCTGGGCGTGGCCTGATAGTTAGAGTGCCTGGACTGTGAATCCGTTGCAGCAGATACTTTGGGCTGCGAGTGCACTATACGAGTGACGGTTAAATCCCACTATTTTGTCCAACAAGAGTGCCCTAAGGTTTAGTGTTGGACGCTGTTAACTACAGGCGACTTTCTTCAGTCTAAAATTAGGGATAGCTTTTGCACAATTGTCATTATGTAGCTTTTCTGAAAAACAAAACAAATCCATGCATTCTTCGGATTTTTAACTTTTGCTAAACCAACAAAAAAATCATAAAAAGAAGATGACAAGAATAAACATAATGCATTAGTGACATGAAGGCTATACATATATATGACATATAAAAACGTTTTGATATAATTTGATATCATAGCTCTTTGGAAAATCCTGAATTCGAGATGTAAGGGTCTTATACAGCAAAGTATTAAACCATCTCCAGCGTACTTTGATTATATCGTTTGGAAAGCGAGAATGATGTTCGAATGTAAAGGCTTTACAAAATACATTATAGTTTACATTTCAATATAATTTTCATCCCATATCAATGAAACATTCTGCTTGATATTCGACACATAAAGGATTTATATTAGCAAAATATCAAAATATGATTATATGACTTTGGAAAAGCGTAAATGAGGCTCAAACGTAAATTGTTTACTTAATATCTTAATAAACGTATACAGTATAGTCTAAGTGTATAACTTTCGAAAAATCTGAGAAATCTGGCAGCAGTTCATATTCTGATTATCATCACTGTATTATCTAACAAAAAAAAAACTTAAAAAATGACGCAGTTGAGTGACTTTTCATAAAACCAATTCTTTATGATTTTTAAAAAGGTTTAAATCGAATTTGTATAATAACTTGGAACCATCACATGGAACTGACTAATGAAAACCAGCAATATTGTAAAATAATCTATTTTATTTCCTTACATTTAGAATAATGTTTATATTAATCTAAAGCTTTGGAAATATATTTCAAAAAAAACAATACATGTTTTTAATTTAAACTGTGTAAGAATTTAGAATTAATCTACATATGTACTTTCTCAACAAGAAACTTTGTCGGGGTAGATCGATAAAATCCAACATAGGCTAAGCTCGTTGAAAACAAATTAGACAAACATGCTTTTCATAAAAGAAATATTGATACCTCGATGACTAATTTTGAGGGAAATAATATCAATTAAATTTACATTAAACTTTGGAAACCTCTCGTTGAACAATCATAACGAAATGCTTTGATTATTTTTAATATAACAATGAAACGAGAGTTTTCTTATTAGTTAATACAATTTTGGTTTATTTACTTCTGTAGGAGCACTTCTGATTTTTACGAACACTGAAGAACACTAATAAGTTTTCTTATTAGTTAATACAATTTTGGTTTATTTACTTTTGTAGGAGCACTTCTGATTTTTACGAACACTGAAGAACACTAATAAGTTTTCTTATTAGTTAATACAATTTTGGTTTATTTACTTCTGTAGGAGCACTTCTGATTTTTACGAACACTGAAGAATCACTTTTGATTTTACGAACTCCAAAAAAATGCGTGAAACATAATGTACAATAAAAGATCTGCGTGAACTTGTGTGATTACATATTGTACACGTGTGGTATCGGTTAGCATGTTATTTCTACTCTTAACCTGGTTACCATAAGATGTTGGAGCTGCGTCAGTGACTGAAGTACACAATTGTCGGTTGATGTTGAACGAATCTCTGGTGTCGTTTCTTCGTCTCTTGTGTTGGAAGGACTCGATAGAACAACTAGGTACTTGTGTTTTGTAATCAAGGACGTGACAACATACTTGTGAAGCACCCGTGGGGTATATGTTTCTTGTCGGTGCGCAGGATAAGAACCGACATGATTAACTAATGGAATGAAAACAATTTGCTTCTAATGGTAAAGTTTTGCTTCGATTGTTAACTTTGGATTCTGAAACTGAAATAGTCATGAGGAAGAAACAGATGTATTATTTCTCCGGAAATGTTTAGCACCAAAATCATCTTGGAACACATCATGAAGAGTGTTTGGAACGTGATAAGTCGCGATATGACGGTCTGGCAATGTTAAAGTTCGAATTTCCAAGATTAAAGCTGCTTTTGTTGACAGTCTAGCTTCGTAGAATACGTGCTGATCGTATTAATGTGTCCTGTGTGTAAATGATGTCCATCGACTCTACTGTAAACACAACAATGTATTTTACCACTACTACCGTACCCGAGGCTACAGTCTTTCATGAAGATGTGACCAGGTTCAACCTGCCTTTCCCTAAACCAACAGGTGAGTTGACTGTTGCAAATATTTTTAATTTCAACTTAACTTTTCTCGAATCTGAATCTTCTGGTCTATTATCTACATATGTGTGGCCTACCCTTTGGATCTTAAAAGTGACTATAGTATATTTGTTTTTTACTTGTACTCTAAAAAAATTAATGCTGCGATAATGTAATGCCCAACTTACTGTGCTACAAAATAAACATATATTAATTTATTTGGCAGTGCAATAACATTTTAGCTACAGGTTTTAACTATCAATTTGTACGTTTATTTTTCTATATATTTTTTTTCTATACTGAACATAAATAAAAAAAATAATGAAAAGAGAATTTTAGCCGCAATCGTATAAATATAAATATATATATATATATATATATACTTTTAAAACTGTGAAATCATAGCAGTGCCATTTGACCATGAAATAAAAAATTATTTCAATAATTAAATACTTAGATCTATAGTTTTAAATGTTAATTAAATACTTAGATCTATAGTTTTAAATGTTAATTAAATACTTATATCTAAAGTTTTAAATGTTAATTAAATACTTAGATCTATAGTTTTGAATGTTAATTAAATACTTAGAACTATAGTTTTAAATGTTAATTAAATACTTATATCTAAAGTTTTAAATGTTAATTAAATACTTAGATCTATAGTTTTAAATGTTAATTAAATACTTAGATCTAGAGTTTTAAATGTTAATTAAATACTTATATTTAAAGTTTTAAATGTTAATTAAATACTTAGATCTAGAGTTTTAAATGTTAATTAAATACTTATATCTAAAGTTTTAAATGTATATGCAAGTTATTTTGTTCTACTTTCGGGAAAAAATGTACTTATTATTTAATAAAACTAAACCTCGCACACAAATTAAGCTGAAGGGGGATAATTAGTCTTATAGGTCAGCGGTAAGTTCACTAAAATCAGGGGGTTATTTCTCCTTTGTGGACTGAGTGTAAATAATCTCTTGTGCAGCTTTGCACTAAGAAGAATCAAAACAACAAACATCACTCTGCTAAATAGAGAAATAAAGAATTAAATATGAAATTACCTAAACATCTCCAAAAACAGATAGATACAAAAAAGTTACAGCAGGCATATTCTTTCTTAGTCTAAATCATTATTGAAATAAATAGAATATATATTCTCTTCACATAACTGTCTGTGGGGTGTGTTTCAAAGATGAATTTTATTCTGAGTGCAAGCTATAAGAAAACTGTCTTGGAATAAGTATGTTAAATACAGTAGCATATGGTAGTACCAAACAACTTGAAGAACGTGAAATTATCCACGGACTTACAACACTAAAATCCGGGGTTCAATTCCATTCCTCGCGGTGAACACATCAGATAGCACAATGTGGCTTTTTTTTTCTAAAACAAAACAAAAACTTCCCGCTCATTCGTGGAGGTCTGTAATAACATTTTTCTGACGTTTACTTTCATACTTACAATACAATATCAGAAACAATTTTTGTATACTGAATATTGGTTAGAGTTAGTAGATTATAATATCGTTTACTTTTCTTCATATTCTACCTGATTTTTTAAAGCTTAATTGTTGGAACACAATATAAGAGGCATTCACGGTAATGAGTATGGTATGACCATCAAACGTTATGATCAATAATGAGATGGTTTCTACCCACTCTTGATGTGTGGGAAAAAGAACAACTGACCATCTAAAAGTAATCTTGCTTTCGTAAGGATCGGAAGGAGGAAGTAGTCCTGGCAAGGCTACGCATTGGTCACAGTTTTTAAACCATCGTTTTCTGTAATCAGGTGTTGACCCACCGATATGTAGCCATTGTGACACTCAAGTCACAATACCCCACATTTTACTGTCGTGCCGTCGTTACGACCGTGAGCGGCGGCACCATTTTAGACACATGTTTTCTAAGAGTCTACCCCTGACGTTGGACAGTGTCATTGGTAATGATGACTCTGTCCGACTAGATTTTTAATTTTTTACACACTATAAGGTCTTTTTAATTGTATATAAATCTTTTATCGACATATATTGGTTTTAACTCACTGTATTTTTACATTTTACTTTCACTGTTTTTACTGGTTATTTGGCGCAGATAGTCTCGTTGCTTTGCGCTATAAAACACCAAACAACAACATAATTATGTAAATAGTCTTTGTTAAAAGATCATATTTCTATTTGGCTTTAGATATGAACATTTTACAACATTTTGTATGTATGATTTATGTCATCTGATGGGTCAGTAGTAAGTTTAAGTACTTACGATGCTAAAATATTGAGTTCAGTTCCTTGTGGTGGACAGAGTGCAGATAGCCAATTGTGTAGCTTTGTGTCCAAAAAAACAAAACAAAACACAGCAAACAAAATTTACAAATTATAGAAAAAATAGGTTTTACGTAATATGCATAATGTCTTTATAAAAGTTTAATTTTTTATTAATATACTTGTATATATATATTAAAATACAAACTTTCAATTTTCAAATAATTCATTACATTTTGTGAATATGTTTAATTTCATCAAGTAACCAGAATATGACGAACATGTTTTACTGAACTTGACAGTTCTCAGCCTTGGTCCATCAGAACGTATTATATTGGCCCGGCATGGCCAGGTGGTTAGGGAACTTTACTCGCAAACTGAGAGTCACGGGTTCGAATCCCCGTCACACCAAACATGCTCACCCTTTCAGTCTTGGGGACCTTATTACGTGAAGTTCAATCCCTCTATTCGTTGGTAAAAGAGTAGCCCAACAGTTGGCGGTGGGTGGTGATAATTAGCTGCCTTCCTTATATTCTTTCACTGGTAAATTAGGGACGACTAGTACAGATAGTCTTCGTGTAGCTTTGTGTGAAATTCAAACCAAACTTTTTATATTTATCTTGATTGGTGCAGACATTGTAGACCCCAGAAGCTCGTGGGTTTTTAACATATAAGGAAGTAAAACCTTTTCTTTACATTTGTGTTGATTGTACTAAGGAGAGAATTACATTCTGCAATAACAATAATAGAAAGTAAGTAGCGATGTTTGAAGGAATAACTTCATGTGTATTCCGACCGCTCTGCAACTTCATTTTCTCCAGTGACTTGTAATCCTCCTTATCAGCAGTGATATACAAACTATAATATTCACTCTAGTTTTAATACCCTCGCTATTAGATACTTACCCATTTTCATGATTTTTCACACTCGTCCTTCAGTTTCGTCTATCAGCACGTCAAGGCGTTAACATCAAGGATTACACATTAATTCGAGAAATCGGGAGATAGGCCTTATATGCCTGTTATGGTCGTAAGGGTGAGGATCCTCTCATTGTTATAATGTTAATCCAAATTCCAATTGACGTAATTTATAAGCAGAGTTAAGTTATGTATACCTAAGTAAAGCAACAATAGGAAACTTCTAAGGCTTTAAATATATCCTACCAATAGTTCTTAAGTTCAAACTCAACACATTGTGAGTACTTATTATGGCAACACCGGTCAACAGAACAGTAGTTTCTCTATCTATGAAACGTTAAAAAAGAGTAAAAAAATATAACTAATTTAAGAGTCAAAGAATTAACAACTTATTTCGTATTACCAAAAAAGTTCTTTGGTTTTGATGTGTAGTTCTTTTTCGCCACAAATAACCTAAAATACCTTAGGATTTGGATAAAGTGTGGCATACCGTCATTTATTAATTAATATCAGTTATGCAGCTCTGGCAAGCCAATCAAGGCAGAGCTGAATATAAAAATTGGGGTACAGCGTTCTACACATATGCGCTATATATATTAAGCCATACCGGTGCAGTAAGTATATAATATAAAGGAAAAATTTGTGTCTGTCTGTGAACGCATCTCCTCCTAAACGAATTGACCGATCCAGACCAAACCAGGCATGCTAACTTAGAAGTACGAAAACAAATCAAATTCGTGTTAAACTTTCCCATGTATAGAAAAATATAAATACTTTATAGAATAATCCGTAAATCGTCACTGCACAAAACTCGCATTATATTTTAACAGAATTCTAGAAGTCAAAGATTGTAAATACAATTCTCAGTATTTTGGCTTATTGACAATAATAGACAAAATACACAGTAATAAAATATCCAGCTACAATTTGGAGAATAAAGATATTGGTGCTGTTTTAGTTTTCTGCTCTTTTCTGATTCACACCATTTAACTTCCGGTTTGTACTAGGGTCAGAAAAAGCGCTTAGGCCTGAATTAGAGACGTATTTCATAATTAAAATATTTTAAAAATACTTCTTACTTCTCGATGTAGAATATAATTTTCCACAGAAGCAAAATTCAAGATTATTAATAAATTTGATGCATTAAATGTACAAAATCCAACCAGTACAAATCTTGACCACATCTCTATTGTGAAACGAGCTGCTTTGAACGCAACTACTTTGCTATTTCTGCCAAGTTTCTCGACTCGACTTCTACACCTCCTCACTTCTTATCCACTTCCCCTATCTTACAACAATTTTCTTGGAAAATGAACGCTACTGAAAATCCTCGCAGAGATTTTGCTATTTTTAGTCAATTTGTGCGTGTTTTCAAAGAAAAAAGAAAAGGGAGTGCAGTCTCCTTAAAATAATCTGCAAACTTTTAAACTAAGACATTTAAAGTGCGTTATAAGAGCTTCAAAAAGAAAGCCCATTATGGACTCCCAGCTCACTTTTACTTGTAGACTTTCATTGGATCTGTCGGGCTTTCACTATGGGCAGAGCTGGGTATGCAGTTTTCCGCTCAAAAAAATTAGTCAAATTAATTATTCAGCAGACTAATTGGTTATTTATTTAGTTGTTAATTTTTTTCTTCACCAAAACGTGCATTTCAGTGAAGTCTCTTTTCACGCTGGGTGAATAAAAGAAATAAAAAATCAAAGAAAAGATTTTGTTGAGCATCTCTTGGATGGCTTCGTCTGTGTCTGTCAAATAACACTTTTAACCCTTGCTTTTATTGTTTCGTGTCGGATGGTTCCTTTTCAATTTTCTATGCGTTATGTTTGGAGAATACATGGCAAGTAACTATAATTACTATAGAATATACAATAATCCATATCAATAATGTCGCCAGTCCAGTGGCTCAGCGATAAATCTCTTGCTTATGAGACTAGAAACCGAGTTTCGATACCAGTGGTGGGCACAACACAGAGAACCCATTTTGTAGCTCTGTGCCTAAAACAAATAAATAAACACACAAATCATTAATGTCAAACCAGATAATTAAACATTGGTATTTTGAGAAAGTTAGAACAGAAAGTAT